CTTTTCTTCATACATTCCGTCTACGTATCAAAAATTATGACTTCCAAACACCCGAATCACTGATAATTCCTAAAGATAAATTTTATTCATACATCATTAAAAAAGTTTGCAATTACAACATATCTTCTTATCGCTACTTGAATTGCGGAAATAAAACTGTATGCCACCTTGAAATGAAAGAGTAAGTCATAAAAAATTATATCTAGGGAGGGTGTTGGTTAGGCGCTGTTGGCTTCTTCATCCACACCCGCACCCACTCCCACACCCACGCCTACACATACACCCACCCTCAAGATGGTTTACCTTTACTCCTACTATATTCTACATTATCGTCTACAAATAAGCAAATGTCGGGTCAATGACATACAAAGTTATTTAAGCTGTTCTGTAAGCAAGAAGCGCAAATGCGTGACCGTTTTGAAAATCCGTCCTGGAAGGCAAATATAACAACCCAAACGTATAAACAACCAGTGCGAATTCGTACACGTTTCCAAAACTCATCATGGGAAGCAAATAAAACCGTCCACCTCCACACCCACATCCTCAAGATGGCAAATAAAACCGCACAAACGCATAAACAACAAGCGCAAATCCGCCCACGTTTCTAGGAGTCTTCATGGCTGACAAAGAAAACTATCCAATCACATAAACAAGCAATGCAAATTCGTGCACGTTTCCAAAACTCATCATGGGAAGCAAATAAAACCGTCCACCCCCACACCCACAAAATCAAGCGTATACAAACGAAAACACACACCTCAAACAAATAATAATATGGAAAATATTCCTGCAAAAAAATGGTCCGAAATCAAAGAAGTATGTAATTAACCTTCAGCAAGCAGTGCGAATCTGTGCACGTTTCAAGAACTCTTCATGGGAAGCAAATAAAACCACCCACCCCCATATCCAGAAAATCAAGCGTATACAAACGAAAACACACACCTCAATCAAACAATAATAGGGAAAAAAATTCCCCGGAAAAATTTTCTAAAAAAAAAGGGTATGTATCTTTCAAGAAAATATTTTCCTATATGCAGAATAACTTGTGATCGATTATTACTGTTCAATTTCTTTCACATAGAATGGATAGTTGATAAAAAACGCCGACGATTTCAACAGCACTGTCAATTACAGAAACTAAGAACATCGTTTCGAACGGTATTCGTCCCGCCCATTTCACTAATATGTGATCTTTTTATCCTCTCCTTCCTGTTTCTTGTTTCTTTCCTATCCGTACATTTTCCTTCTTCTCCGCTCTCTCTAGTCTTTCTCTCTCTCCTTCTCTTTCATTTTTTTTCTTCGTCTGGGTTTTGTGGACTATATGTATTTTGTTTTGGTGTAATATATTGTCATTAATATTCAGCAAGCAGTGCGAATTCGCGCACGTTTCCAGAACTCATCATGGCAAGCAGATAAAACCGTCCACCCCCACACCCACAAAACCAAGCGTATACAAACGAAAACACACACCTCAATCAAACCGTAAAATGAAACAATTCCTCCAAAAAATGGTGCGAAATAAAACAAGTAAGTAGTATTGACCAAAACGCCGACAACTTTAACAATACTGTACCAAGGAAATAGAAGGACATCCTTTCTAACCACACAGTGCCAAGACAATAGGAAGACATCGTTTCGAACGGTACCCCTCCCGCCCGTTTCACTAATACGTGATCTTCTTATCTCCTCCTTCTTGTTTCTTGTTTCTTGTTTCTTTCCTATCGGTACATTTTCCTTCTCCTCCGCTCTCTCTCGTCTCTTTCTCCCTGATTTATTTTTTATGTTTTATCTCTCTCTTTCTCTTTTATGTTTTCTTTCTTTCTGGGTTTTGTCAACCATATATATATGTTTTGTTGTAACTAAGTGTTATTATTATTTAATAAAACAATTTCGATACATCAATTAGAAGTATATTGAATCCTAAACACTCATTTCTCTTGAGGGTGTGAGTGTGGCGTGACTGTCAGTGGATGTACGGGCGAGTGTGCGTGTGAATGTGAGGTTTATCTTCAGCAATGACTGAACCAACACCCACACTTACTCACAACACACACCCAACCACCCAACCGACCTCAGATTCAAAGTCTCCGTATCGAAATACGTCGAGAAATGTCTTTTGCTCAAATTCGATATCGTATGTTTTTTGACCTCTCACCCACTCACCAACCTGTTCACCCACCTCCTTCACCATAGTCACCGAACTGACCTCAGATTCGACTTCTTCGACCTGGAAACCTATATGGAATCAGTTTCTAGCGGCTAAAGTTAAGTTTTCGTTGATTTGTAACGTGCTGAATTCTGATTGGCTTGGACCGATAAACTTTTATCATTTTAAGCCCATGATTTTACCGCTGTATAACCCTTTCTTTCAGAAAAGGGAATTAACTAAACAAGTAACGCTCGTCAACAAATTCGCTGAGTTCTTTCTCGTAGAAGGATTGTTTTCAGATGTTACATTTTTAATGTATTATTACGTGTATAAGCTTATTTTTAGTGTAGATAAGATATTTATAGCAAATATTAGATAGGGGTCAGACATTCTAAATAAGTATTAATACAATTGTAAAGATTATGCGTGATTACATAAAAAACAAAACCAAAGAACACGATAGGCAATATCTGATACGATCAGAGAAAAAAAACAGTTATTACAATGATTAACATATATGTAAATAAAAAGGTAAAGCAAATGAACAGATGAATAATTATTTTAAGATAATTTCAAACTATAATACAGTTTATATGATTGGAATAACACTGGAGTCTTAGTAAAAGATCGATTTATACATATTCAAAAAGTGAAAGAGATACATTCTCATTTTGTCTTTCGGTCAAGTTCATCCAGACGTTTCAATTCAGCGTGTTGAGCAAGAGAAGGTCGAAGGATGATTACATCTTCCGCTCTCTTCACTCTGCTGAGTGGTACATATACTGATGCTACTGGCCTTGTCATAAGTGGAACTTGAAGATCGACTACAATTCTGTTCATTGTGAATTTTTCCGCCTTATATGTAGTTATTGCAAAGTCAGGTACAGTTGGCAGTTGCGTTCGTGTAGTTCGAATCAATTATGGAGCTTCTTTCCCACCTTCCACACGTTTGAGCAGTCGACCGAAGAGTTGCTTGATGAAAACAGTAAATTGTTTTTGGATAATTGAGATAGGGATTAGTTTAGGACGAAGTCCATTGAGACTTGTTCTTTTACAATTATTTTAATCATTCATACAAAAATTAAATCTATTTATTTTATCTAGAAAATATAAATAATTCGATAATTATATTAAAAAACAAAATTTTATTTATAGTCTTAACTACTGAATATAACAACATTCATCTTATTTACAATTGAGAAACAACAATTTTTTAATGAAATTATTTATCAATAAATAATAAATATTTAGATCTCTTTCAATGATATATTCAAAGACGTGTAATACTATCAAAGAAAAAAAACTTCAAAGATTTCTTATTTTATCAATATACGAAATATTTCTTTGTTTTAAATAAATATAGAAATATTATCTCATACAAATCCAAGATTAATAAAAACATTTAAACATTTTTTGCTCTCTCCTATGAATTGAAATTTATTATTGCTAATTTGATGCTGAATTATTATTGTTTTCATTAAAAATAGCGACAACTACTACTCATTCTAGCTGAAAAAATATAGACTTTATTTTTCGTATCCATTTCATGTAAAAACGAGTTTTCTAATTCAACTCAACCCAACCCAAACCAATACAGCATTAAAAGTATATACTGTTATTCTGTATACTATTTTCCTTGTGAAATGATTTTCCTAATTGAACCCAACTCAGCATTAAAAGTAAGGACTATTGTCCTATATTTCTAATTGATAGTCCAACATGAGTCGAAATTTGTTTCAAGCAGATGAAAAATGTGTGGCGCATGTTTTTTTCAAGTGACATACTGGTGTTATTCATCTATGTTCGGTTATTGCTTGTAATGCCTGCAGGTGATTACAATTATTGGCTTTACTTTATGTAGTGATACATTCATGAATTTTAATTTTAAAGAACAACTCACGCAAAGATTATTAGCAAACAAAAATGAGAAAAGCTTTAAACAAAAAGAAATGCAATTGTAGTAAATAATAAGCATTTTCATGCACAGAGATTATAATGATATCAGAATGGTTTTAAAAAACAAATAATTTAAATAAGTGTAGCGAAATATTCTTGAGTGTTTTGTGCAATCTTGTCCAATCTGTTGAGTTCCTCCAGTTGTGCTGGTGATGGTTTTACTTGTAACGATGAAAAGTCAAAAGGACGCACTATCAGAAGGTCATCAAGTCGTTTAACACGAGACAATGGAACGTAAACCGATGCAACTTCAACAGGACCAGGAGGTGTAACGAGATCAACAATAATTTTTCCCAACGTTTGACCTTGACTTTTATGTGTTGTTATGCTGTATGCTGGTATTAATGGTAGAGCTTTTCGCTTGATCGAAATTTTCATGGGTCGTCGAGCCATTTTTGCTGCTTTTGAAATTTGTTCGGTCAGAAGTTCCTTGACATCGAAAAGAAATGTTTGCTCAGTAACAAAGATTGGAACTATTTTGCTTTTGAGATCTTTGAGTCCAGAATCAAGCTTACAACTCGAGAACTCTACTAAAGCGTATTTTGGCTGTGTTATAAACTTAGTATACTTTGGAAAAACTGTTTCGTCGTATTGAAAATTTTCAACAAATTCATCATACACAAGTTCACGAAATATTCCACGTGTACCATTTGAGAGTCCGAGCTCAGTTGCAATATTTTCTGTAAGTAAAACGGCTAGTCCGGGCACAAGTGGTAAGTATCCTGGAAGATGCTTAGTCTTATTATCAGGTAGCTCGAGAATTGCTTTGCGTAATCTTGAGTCATCAATGGCTTTATTTTTTATATAATCTTGAGCAACACAAACGACTGGTCTAAGTCCCATCTTCATTGTTTTATTTAGCACAGCTCTATTATTTAGTTGAGTGCGAAGTGAATTACGAAAAACCAATGTAGGCGCCTATTATAAAATATATTATTAAATATGAAAAAATCTAATCAAACTTGCTTCAGCCCATGGATCTTGTTGCAAAGATACTTGCAAATTACCACCTCCAATAGTTCGTGTACATAGAAGTTCGTAGTCTTCGATTCTCGATTTTCCATCTCGTAATCTATTTAAGAGTTCCAAATATCGATTATCTTCCGTTTGCATTTACTTGTTCAATTTAACAGCACAATTAATTTGCGATATAACCTTCTGTG